TGATACAGAAGCAATAAACATGTTTAATGATAAAACTGAAATGAATAAAAATATTAATGAGGTTAAATTTATAATTTTGTTGTTCTTTTGCATTTCAGTTAATATTTCTATCGTAAAAAAACTGTCCGGCTTAACACTGTCCACTTTCTCTTTGACAAAAATGAACATTATTCTCAATAATGACAATTTGAACATTTAATTGTGAATTATAATAAATTTGCTAGCTGCTGTTCTATACATTCACAATAATAATGGCTTGAGTAAATTTCTGCGTTTATTTTATTTATGACCTCCCAACATTTTTTTTTACTATGCTTTATCCTATAGTTCCAATTTGAGGTAACATGGTGCAAATATCCAGAGTTAAACTGTCATAATAACAGTACTATTTACAACTGAAGCCAGCAAGCACATATCATAAAATTTCAGTTATATGTAGAAATAATTTATAAGCAAATAAATCTTTATCATTTGGCCAATCTCAATTCAACAAACTAATTTTCATAACCTTTTTTAGTTTTCTTTATTCTGCAGATAATCAAAACCATTATTAAAGAGCGATTACTGTACATGATTAAGAAATATATCACATTTGCATTCTTCAGCTTTGCTACTTTTTAACTTTAACAAGCTAATATTTAAGTACTAAACTATAATACAGTTATATCTCTGAAGTTATGTGATAGGTGCAACTAATGAAAGTTCTGACCTCAGATTCCCAGTAGTCAGGATGTTATTTAATTATTACTGTTTTGTTATTGGGATCAGTTTCAGAAATGTACATATGTATGCATGTGTATATGTATATATATATGCATGTATGCACTTACACACACATCCATCCATTCATCCATACATGCATATATACATAATTCTGAATCTTGTCCTGATAACAGAAGAATATCTATTTATCTTGCATACAAAACAATGCATATGAATTTAAGTTAAAAAGAACCAGTGGCTAAAAATGCACTTGTTTAAAAATATTATACATTTCATAAGAATTTATCAAATTTTTCTCATTCGCATAAAGCTAATTTAATTTAAATTATGAAAATTTAATTGATACAATTAATTAATTTTGCTGCTTTGAACAGAATGTTAATCTATTTTTCACTTTTTTGCAACCAAAGAAAATGACTAATAATGTGCACTGCATGTTAACAACAATTAATAACTCAATGCTGTTTTATGTTTTTCAATAGCAAAATATTATTAGACTTTACTGCTTTTATATTAAAACTACAGGTTATTTTTCATGGGTATCACAATTTCAAAGTATTCACAATTTAAACAAATTAGCCGCCTTTTAAGCAACATAAATGCAGCCTTTAAAAGTTACACCTTACAAATTAAAAGTCACTTATTTTTTTCAATCCGTTTTATATACTTTAATGTATTTGCTAATATATTTCTTTGAAGGAATTAGCTTTGTTTCCTTTATTTTCCTTTCTATCCTTCTTACCCTATCTTTTATGGTACACGCATTTTAAATACTTTTTTTTACTTGAGCTCCCGATTTTCAACGAAAATTAACTCCCGATGCGCTTTACGAAAATAGGAATGAAATACTTGCGATTTTTCTAGAAACTAGATAGGAAATGAATGAAAGTAACAGCACTGTGTATAAAAATGTAGAACAACTGCATTGTTAACACAATAACTAATGTGCTGTTTTGAAGAAAGGTATGGGGTTTTAGAGCAATAAGCATAAATTATTAGACTCTGCTACTTATTTTATTAAAGCTAATTGTTATGTATAGATGTACAGGTGTTTGTTCACCAGCATTTTATGAATTATTCAGAATTTCAAATACAAATTAACTACAGGTATAAATGTGTAAAATAAAATAAGGAGCTGCATAACTTCAAGCTCATATACGTTGGGATACTTCATCCTGAAGCATTCCTGGACTCATAATTAAAACAGTAAAAATAAAGTTATAACTGAAAATCAAAAAATTGCTGCATATGCACTGTATATTAAGTTCCTTATTAAAGCAGACAGAGCCTTGCAATGTCTAAAAGTTACATGTTACAAATTTTGAAATTCAATCAGCTTATTTTGTTATGGTGGCCACTTTAATATTGTCAACTAATGATTTAGGAGCATTGAGCTTAAATAAAAGTTGTATTTTACTTTCTGGTAGCATTGAGTATTTTATTTATACAAAAGGTAGAAATAATATAAATAGAGCTTTATTTTTTCGCAATTAACTCCCGATAAAGATTTACGAAAATATGAACTAATTATGATTTGCGATTTTTTTTTGGGGGGGGGGGTTTATAGAGCGTTTCTGTGTTATGATTTGCGATGAACTATGAAACATAACACCCGATAACGATTTGCGATTAATTATGATTTGCGATTTTCTAACTTCTATTTTGTCTTGCCATAACATTTCCTAAATCTATGTAAACAGAAAAAATCCCTTTTCGTCCTTCATGAAAATTCTTAAGTGGGTTGTAGGTTTGTAACGCTTGTCCGGGTTACCATAATCTGGCGCACACACACTCTTCCGAGATGTCGAGAAATCGCCAAGGGCCGGTTATCTGAAAACTGCCGATTCTTTTATATTAGAAAAATCCATTTTCATATATACATATTTTTAAACATAAGTGTTTATTTTAAAGAGTGGTATGATAAAGTACTAGAGGAATATGAAAAGGCTGCATTCCTACTAGCTTTTTTCCTTAAAACTGAATATAATGTCATACAATTAATCATATCAAAGAATAGATTCTAATTAAGAATCTCAGCACTCCAGCGTAATATAATAGGGAAAACAACACTTTCAATTCAGCTACGTTTGTCTCTTGTGCATCACGTTGTCTAGAGAATTTGTTTCTTATTGATGAATGTAAATGTTTGTTGATTTCACAAATCTTCCATTATTATTCATTAAAAATTTGCAATAAACACTCAGTTGGATTTTTTTAAATTCTAAGCTTCTTGACACTAGATTGTGCGGCTGTGTCCGAACGTTTTTCGAGGGTAATTTTTTACTTCAAATTGTTCCATCTATTCAAACATAAAAATCATCTGATGTCAAAGAAGATCATGTGAATCATCATAATACTGGTCAGAATAAGTTTCGTGAGTACTTTCAGAAATATTATCGCACTCAGAATCGGAATCTTCAATTTTGCTATCAGTTTCAACACTAGTGAGAAGAACCCGCAGTCATTACTGTTCTCTCTCGTACACACTTATCTCAATGAACATCTCTCTAGAAGTGAAACGTTAGTACACGCGCGGGGTAGCTACAATCACGTTGCACATGCCTTCCCCGAAAACACAAAAATCCCAAGGACAGGGAAAAATTCCTCTGGACGAGCACTTCCTAACCTTGATCTTGAAAGGTACATAAAGTACTAGGAAGATCACGTACGACCTTCCCTTATTTTCTAAGAAAAGACTGCATGTGGGGTGGATTTTACCCCAGCGCGTGTGCTGATGGGTTACGAAGCACGTGGCAGAGGGAAAAAATATTATGACTGATGAATGGCACTAGTACTCATCCTTAGCCATGCATGAGTATTATGTTAATGATTCCAAAAATGTTGTTAATCTGACAGTAGGTCTGCATATCCAGTCCACAGAATTTTACAGGTGTCCTTATAAAAATGTGGTCTTTGCAAGAAAAGTCTAGCTGGTCACCTACTCTCAGCTACCTATTTCAATATGATGTTAAATATAATAGTAAGAGATTTTAAATGCATTTAAAGACGTTTGCACACATAGACACTTTAAATGTAATCAAAGATTATATCCTTTTTTCAGAGCAAAATTCATCTAGCTTCTTTAATAAAACTTACTGTTTTCTTTGTGCTGTGAAAGAATGAATGTCTTTTTAATTATTCTGATGTCTTAGTAAAAATCTGAGGCTAATCTTTGGAATATGGTAACAGGAAGTTTGGCAACATTTTGGTAAGGCGATAAAGGTTACTAACTAGGACTTTAGCAGTGTACATGGATAAAGTCAAGAGTATGCGCAATGCCATTTTTGTGCAATTCTGAGATTTTTTTTTAAGTGAAAATAGGTTGACGTGTACATGGATGATGATACAGTGTATGTGCAATTCTTAAAAACGCTGCAAGCAGTGGGCGATTCTGCACTTTGTCCCAATGTCGCACCTAATCTTCGTCATGATTAAGCACTTTTGTTCCATAAAAGTTCTAGCATAAGCGTAATTTGGCTAGCAGATTGTTGGGAAAAAAATGTTGAGTAAAAAAAAAAAAAAAAAAAAAAAAAAAAAGCCTTTACTTCGTGAAAACAAAATGGCGTCCAAACAAAAACTAGCAGGTTGCTGTAGCAGGGTTGGTCGCTGAATTTTCACCAAAAAATCGCCAAGTTACCATAATCCAAAGATTAACGATAATTGTTCTACACTATTCAGTTCCTTCTGTTAAGTCATATTATGATGTCACAACAATTTTATTTAAATTGACTGATTTGGTACCTAATTTGCTTCTACAAGCCTACATTGTGTTTCTTTCTTAGGGAAGGGTAGGAATTTGAAACCTCAAGAATTAGACTGTTACAATATATTCTTAAGTAGTACCTGTCTAATTTCTTCAAAGTTAAAATAAGATATAAAAATAATGTGTAATGGCATGTGGCTGGTTTATGTTTGGATTTCCACAAAACAACAAGAAAAGCATCATAAAGCAATAATCAAAGTTGATCTTAAATTTCATCTGAAATTCGTAAAGCAGCAGTGAATATTTGTATTTAATGATGTAAGGCTATGTTGATCATAAAAAATGGGTATATCGTATAAAAAATTATTTTAGTGCTGTCAAGTGAAATATGGCCAAACTGTAATTAGTAGCTATTTTTGTTTGTTCAAAAGTATTTATCATTTAAGCAAATATATTCTCAAAATTTGTGTTTTTGCCTTTATATATTGCATTTAAAACTTGATATTTATGGTCTGTTCTTTGTCTTTTGCTGTATTATGATATGAAATATTTAATATACAAATTCTTTTTTCACTTGCATGTTAAAGTTTTTGCATTTTTGTTTGTAGATGAGTGATCTATCAGATGCTTCTGTTGAGGATGCAGTTGTCGAAGATGTCTTGAATGCTCAAAAAAGAAAATTGATTCCTGTTAATAATGTGGTTGGTATCTTTCTTTTTTTAAATCTAGTGAATAATTTTATTAATTATTGTTATACCACCAATAATGCAACCTGGCTAGCATTCCTCTAAAATATTTAGATGTTTTGGTACTTATGTATTTCTCCATCAACTGTGGAAGGTGGTTTTTGTCAGATATAAAATTAGCAAAGATCCCACTAAATTTATGCCAGTCATTATGGGCAAACTGTGAGGAAAAAGATGGTTTGTTATTTACTTAGATAATGACAGATTGTTTTTGTAGTTACATAATTAGCAAATACCAATTATAAACACAGCATATCTATGTATATTTTTTAACTGTCCCATTCATTGAAGGTGTAAGGAGACAGTTTTGAGTTTTGAACATTTTTACTGAAACAATTGACTGGTCATTTGCTCAGTATATGCAGCTGTAAGGCTGACAACGTATGGACTAACTGCGCTGGACTAAAAGTTTAGTTTATCCTCATAAATGTAACCCGTTGGTCTTTTGTTAAAAGCATATAAAGTAATACAATAATAGAGTAAGGAAGGAAAATATTTAAAAGATATGCAAATAGAAAGTGGATATGACATAATTTCCTCTTGCTTCACAAATGTAAATAGGACTTGTCATAATTTTTATTTGCTCTTTTAAATATTTGCTAATTTATTCATGTAGTATAATTAATTGTATATAAGCATCATATCTTCATTTTCAATAATGTATTTTGTAATTTGATGGGGTGCAAACACACACTTTGTATTGTAGAATAAATAAATATTTCCCTGGAATTTTTGTTGCAATTCATAGTGGAGGCTTCGCTTTAATACTTGAAACTAACGGACATTGCAAAATATAATGCTTTGCATCTTCTAGATGTGCTGGTGTTCCACATCCATATTTTACATTTCTTCTGAAGAATTGTTGGAAATAAGATAGAAATTTTTCATGACTTGTTAATTGTACTGACTGTTTTTATTCTTTTAAGTGATACTTGTGGGAAGTATTCCCTCATACTATTATCTTTGTCATTTTACTAAAATTTGTTTAGAAATTTTATTCTTGAAGTCTTGAAATAGGAAAAGGGATATCGCATCTTTCCATATGGCCTCCTTAGCTGCTGTTTCAGTAGCTTCATTCCTTATTGTACCTGTGTGTCCCCATATGTGTACCAGTTTAGGCTTATAGGTCGAATATACACTTCCATATTTATTATTTTTAAGGTTTATTATTAAAAGTTTTTCTTTGTTTCTTAATAATAATGCCTCTAAAATGCTTTGGCTGTCTTTATAAATGCTTGCATATTGTGCAGCAACATTTAGTTTTATTATTTTTGAGGAAGGCATTTAGCAATAAAAAAGCTTCTTTTAAGGTTCCTCCAGCTTGGTAAACTGTATTTTAATCATGGAGTCTAAATTTTTTACATATTAAAACTTCTTCAGCTTGGTAAGCTGTAAATGCCACCCTAACTTCATCTTCGATCTTTGATCCGTCTGTAAAAAATTTCTATTCCCTTTTCTTTGGGGACATTCTTATGTCTTTTTTTCGAGGACTCTTATGTCATACATACAAATATAAACACTACATTTGAAGAATTTAAGTAAATAATAGTTCAAGCTGTGTTGTTATCTGACCAAGAGAAAAAAAATTCAGTCTGACTAGCGGTAGTCTTTCTAGTGGCCCAAAATTCCTTATTTAGAATGGCAAAAAGGCATTTAAAATAATAAAAAGTAAGTTCTGAATCTTTGGTTTATGGATACTTGGTGATAATTAACTAACAAAGCCTTGATACTGTTAGATAGCTGTTTATGTATACAGTGTCCAAAAAAATTTTTTTTTTCAGCTTTTATTTTCACAACCATTTTATATTTTATGTGGACATATACTTCCAATTACAGTAATACTTTAATTTATGCAAATATTTTTGTTTTGGTATTTTTAAAATCCAGTTTTATAAAAAATTATGAAGAAGAAGAATTTATTAGAAGATTATTTAGAAGTTTGTGCAATTAGGGCTCATTGCAAACTGTCTTTCTATTATGATCATTCTCTCATACAGTTACATATTTGCAACCTTTTATAACTTGAATCCAGTTGGTTTCAAATTACATTAACTTCGAGTTCTCTTCCTATGTTATTTTTTGATTTCATATTTCTCAAATGGTTTATAACGCATTCCTTTAATCTGACTAAAGTCATATTAAGTATGCATACTTAAAATTTGTGCAGAAACTAGAAAATGATTACCAGAATCATGGATTTTATTATTATAGTATTATTATAGTGAGTTCCAATAATTTAATTATTATTATAGTTAATTGCAATAACTGTATGATAGTAAAAATGATTACAATTAGTAATTATTTTGTCTTTTTCTTCGAGCTAAAATTTGTGTTTTTATATTCTGGAAAAAATTCTTAATTAATTTTAATAACTGTATGATGATAAATAATTATTACAGTTACTTAAGTAATTATAATAACTATAATATAATAACTATTATATCTCTTTGATTTTTGCACTAAAAAGTATGATAAATTATGAGGAATTGTTAGTTATTTCTATCACTTTTAATAAACAATATTATTATATTAATATATTCTTAATATAAGGGAAGTCTTTATATTTGTATAGGAAGTATATATATAATATATATATATATGTACATTGATTATTTCTTTTTCTCTTCAATTTTTTTTTTTTTTTTTTTTTTTTTTTTTTTAAGACCGGTCTTCTTAGTAAGCTAAAGGAAATTCAGCTGAATTTAGATTGGGTTGAAAAGCTGGACACAACTGTCAATGTATCTGCCTTACCATCCGAACAGTCCAAGGAATCTGCTGCTGTCGATACTGTAGCAGAAAATGACTTTAAGCGAGAAATGTCTTTGTATGTATGCTTTTATATTTTTAAGGAAAATTTCAATTGTATATAATGTTCTGAAAAGATATTTGTATTTTTTCATTTATAGTCTGCTGGAGTTGATTAGGAATTAAAATTTTAAATTTATTTTAGGGATTCTTTTCAGAAGAAACCTTGCTGATGATGTATTTAAAAACAGTAAATTGTGATTTATTTTTACTTCAATGTAAGAGCATAAAAATTATTTTGAAAACAAAACAATTCAAAATTTTTCAACAATTCAAACAAAACAATATGAAAACAAACAAAATTCTTTCAAAAGCAAAGTTCACTAAATATAATTTTGTTTTGTACTTTCTGATTATCTGCATCTGACAACGAAAAGCTATGAACTTGTCAACTAATTTTTTGAAAAGCTGGAACATGAAATGCAGCAATCATTTTCACATTAAAATTCAATAAAATTGAAAAAAGCAAGAAATATTAGTTTTAAAATACTTACCTTTTTGAGAAAGCCACCCCCCTTTTTTTAGCACTGTTGCTCTTCCCATGTAGGCAATGATCTATTTTTGCTAAAAAAAAAAAAAAAAAAAAAAAAAAAAAAAAACGGAGAATTGTGCACCTTTCAAAACAGGCATGTGCTATGTGTATACCCGAGTTGGCACAGAAATACTTTTTCATGAGCTTGCAGGTTTGCCAGTAGCAATGTAATTATTTTTGTGACATGCTGTTTCACTTCATGAATATTTTTTTAAACTTTTCGGGGGTGGGGATCAGATAATTAGAAAGTACCTTATGTTTGCGTAAAATGTTTCCATACGAAAGAGTTCTTTATTTCTTCAAAAATATTCTTTAGTTTTTATACCTTTGCTGTATTTTCCGTTTATCTCGTGTTACTTTTATTTTGGGTTTGAACTTTATTTAAGTATTGTTAAGTGAACACTGATAAATAAACCAGGTCTCACAATGTGTTGGTATTATCTCAGAAAATTAGTTAAGTTGAAAAATAGTATGCATGTTTAATTGCTTGCAAGAGAACTAGCTATATATGAAACAAGCATAACAACAATACGAGAGGATTAAAAAGTGAATTAATAATAACAGTAATGTATCATATAATATTTAAAATTTTTATGTGTGCAATGCCAAATTTATGCTGTTCTCCTATTATCTTTATGAAAACAGGTTACTGTACGTACTTATAGGGACAACTGAGCTTCCTCCATGTGCACAGTCATTTTTTTCCCTCAAGAGAAACATGAAAGAATTGCACACATTAAACATTGCACAACTATTCATGACCTGATATAAATAAGCAACCAAATTTAGTGCAGTTTGGGCAAATGGTGACCCTGTAACAGAGAATATATAACATAGAATATTCTTAATATATGAGTATGTTATAGTTATTTGTGTGCAAATGCAGCTGACCAGTCCTTAGATTTATATCAAACTGGATGCATGCCAAATGAACTTTTATGATAGGAAATAAAAGAAACAATGTATTCTTCTTAAAAAAAATCTTAAATACTAAAATACAAGTGCAGTGAGTGAAATGTATACTATCCTAAATACTGTTCATAAATGTCTTTTTGTTATTTAGATCAAAAGCAATATGTCGCCATGCTGCAACATCTGTGATCTTTGGTTGGTAATCTGTATATTTCAAAGTTTATGTATGCTTATATACCACTGTATTCCTAATGTAATGTGTATTCCTAATATAATATACCACTGTATTCCTAATGTAATATAAAGAAAAAAGGGTACTTGCGTATTATCGCAACCAGGTTGGCGCGATTTGTAAGTTTGAGTAAAAAAGTATGAATAGAAAGAAAATGTACATTTATTAATTACAGATAATTTTTAATACAGTTTTTTATATTATTTTGTTTTAAAATATAAAATAGCAATTAAACCCTTCCGGTTTCGAATTTGAATAAGTTGCAGAATTATTTTTTCGGTGGAAATCTTTTGGCTATTGCTTTTAGCACTGATTGAAAACCGTCTTCGCCATTAACAGCTTGAGCTTGGCGCCATATAAATTCAATAAGGTATGAGTCAAGATGATGACGGGCTGTTCCTCTCTGTTTTTTGTTGCGCCATTTGGCTGAGCCCCACATGCACTATACATGTTGTGTGAACGCCCGTGTTGGGATCCACAAAGTTATATTTGTGATTAACAGTTCCATGCAGAAATCCAGCATTTTCGAACTCGCTTGTATTGTATCCTTTCCAGCAATCCGAATAAATGATGCTTCCTTCCTTGATATTTTCGCAAATTTTTTCCATGAGGGTAATGGCGCTTCTGTTAGGTACAGTAACCAAAAAAGTCTCTTTCTTTTCTCGGCAAATTCCGCCGAAAACCCATTGCTGTGGTAGTACACGCCCAGTGTTATTTTTTCTTTTTACAAATAAACTTTCGTCTAAACACGTAGGGTTGCCGTAAGTAGGGTAGCCAATTTTGGTCTGGTTGCGTTAATATGTAAGTACCGAAAAAAGTAGACAGTGCTAAGAAAAAATCTGACCTACAATTTGTAAAACTGTGCAGATAGGTCCCAAGGTTTGCAGATTTTAAAGGAATTTAATTGCATTTACAAATTAAATAGCAGATTAGAGATTGCTGGCAATATGCCAGAAATTCCATCAAAAGAAGTATAGCACCATTGGCTTGTTTACCAGTGTTCTGATTGCAAACTTATACTCTTGCTCATTATTTAAGCTTGCATAATTTGCATTTTGGGTGGCATTGACAAAGAGGAGTAGTACAAGGAAGATTTAGCATAACAACATGTTAATTTAAATATGTACATGTGAATTTTATCAGTGCCAAGAATATTAGTAATATTTACATGAATTAAGGAAGGAAAGCATGCCCAAGCTCAACACTCGAAGTCATATGTACCCATTATGACATATGTGGTGCTTGCCATGTAAGCTTAAATAAGTTAATATTTATTATATATAAAACAATTTTTCAATAGTTACATTTTGCAGTTTTCCTGTTTGAATTTATTCTCTTAAAATTCTCTTGTTTATTATGCTTGTGTTGCTTTTGTTTTGTAGCTGTAACCAAGCTATGAGTGCCACATCAAAAGCTCTAAAGCGTCTAGAAAAACTTGGTATTCCCACCAAACGGCCGACAGATTTCTTAGCAGAAATGGCCAAATCAGATGCACACATGAAGAAGGTATTAATTTTCTGTATGTAATACTTAATCCACCGTAGGCAATATGTAACTGCAATTCTTGAATTAAAATATTCCTCCTTGATATTTATTTTATTGTGCAGAATTGGCATGGTCAAACAGGGGCTTTTAAGCCCCTTAAATGCAACCAATGTCATTACAAATAATAGCTTTATTGTTACTTGTCCATTATAACAACTTCGGGAAATGGATAATTACCCATCCGCACATGCGCACAGTTTACTTTTCATATATAAATGTAGTTTTATATTTCTTCAGCTAGTGAAAATTTTTTGGCTTATTATTACCAAATGTGTAATATGCTTACTATTTTCTCCTGTAAAGGAATTTTTAAAAATTGCCCTTGTATGCTACTTGAGGCCTCAAAGCTGTATTTTAATGTTTCTATATGATGCATGTACAATACTATGTACTGTATTATGCAAAAAAAAAAAAAAAAAAAAAAAAAAAAAAAAAAGTATGTAGTCTTTTACAAAATAGCAGGAGTTTTATCTCCTACCAACCTATATACATATAAGGGAGGTCATGTTTTCAGTAGTGAATTAACAATTATAAGTAAGTTTACAGTGAATAAGCATGAATTATAGTCCTCACAGTACATTTTAACTAGTTTTACTTCCTTGTATGAAGTAAAAAGGAAGTATTGTAATCGCAAAAAGTTTCAGGCATTATATTTCAATGAAAATATCCATTTTTACCAGTATTGAATGCAATTTAACGATGCTTTTGCGTGACATCTGTACGTAAGGACAGAGTAAAAGACTCTTTCCCCCCCCCAAAAAAAATTATAAAACTGATATAAAATGAATTCTGAAGGGAATTTTCTGTGACGTCTGCGTGTATGTACGTATCTCGCATAACTCAAAAACGAATAGCCTCAGAACTTTTGAAATTTTGTATATAGGACTGCTATTACATGTAGATGTGAACCTCGTATTTTGGTTGCAATTGTTTGCACCAAAAGTATATAAATATATGTGTATATCCACTCTGTTACCTGGCTCAGTGATCTCAGTTTCTGTACTGTTATATGTTTGTAAATTGTTCATTTTTTGCTTTAAAAATGATTGAACTATGTTGTTTTTATGCCTTTAGTTAACATTATCAGCAATTTAAAAGTTGTTTAACTGTGCCTAGGCCTAATTTTTTTACCACAGCAGTCATATTGTTTACATTTGAAACTTAGCAGAATAGTGGTATTTTTGCCAAATGCCTTCTTTAATTATTGCGAATTAAATCGTGCTTCATCCATTCTGAAATTATTTGAGGAAATAAGTGTTTAAGATTTACTTCGGAGTTTTTAATATATATATTTCAAGTTTTTATGTATTTTTGCCTTGTTGCAAAGTGAGAACTGAATTAATTGAATGAGAAATACTGAATTGTCTGTGAAAACTGTTTCTTTTTAATTTTATTTGCTTAATTTCTTTTATACATCATTTTAGATATATTATAGTATTTGAATAGAATATGTGGCAATGATTAGATAATTCTTCAAATGATATAAATTTTGTGCGTTCTGAGTTACATTATGAACGAAATGTAATGCTTTTAAGTGAACCTAGCGCCAGAGTGTCGCTGTGGTGAGCAAATATAGTGAATTTTAAAGAGTGTATTTATTCTGTTGTGGATTATGCACTATTGAGAAAGTAGATTTAATGCAATCCAATAAGTTTAAATGAAATGCAAGAAAAAATGTAGATAATTTAATATTCCATGCAAGGAAGTCATGTGGTGTGCACATTAGATTTTTGCAGTGATGTGTGCATGTGTGTGACTATTTTTTTTGTCCACAAGAACTTTTATATCAAACTTCCAAAAATTTCTGTTTTCAGTCCTTAAGCTTGTTCCATTCATGTAAGAAGTTAATTAGATTTTGGGTAAAACTACACAAGCAGAAGGGGTTCTTTATTTAAAACATATAACAGTTTTGCAGTAATCAATATAACATATTGCTCCAGTTGTATGAGCATTGTTGGCAGATACCTGAATAACCTGGGGGTATACATACAGATCATAACGAATTTAGATTCGTTGATACTATAAAAATAACATGGAAGAAAATGAAGTTATGTAATTTCATAGCTGCCTACTTTCTGTTTATCACCGCATCTCCCAATAAATCATTGAATCTCCTGTTTTTAACTTTTTGAATATTTAGTAAAGAAAATTCCCCACAATAAGCGAAGTTTATTAAATTAATGAAAACTTGAACTATGCAAATTGCAATCTCCAACACCTAGTGAATTTCAAAATAATTTTTCCTATTAAATTTTATTTCATTTGAATTATATTATTTTTTCTTATCCCATTTTATGAATTTATTTATTGAATTTTATTTATATAACTTTTTTGTATTAAAATTTCAATTGATTTGAATTGTAATAATCCATGCTGACATCTGTAAAATTTTATTTGTAAAATCACACAATGTTGAATCAGTTAATATTTGTATTTAGTTTTGTTTTACTTCAGTATGTGGTACATTATAAAGTTTATTCACACAAATACTATTACATTAATTATTAATTTTACCTTTACCATATTTAAAAGTTCTTTGATGAATAAAAAAGCTTTCTTTCCCTACACAGATTTTCTTGGTGTAAAAGCATAATTATTAAACATTGAAATTAACCAAAGATTGGAAAATTTAAAATATCTGATTAAATATTAATATATTCTACAGTTAGAATCATATTAATTTCAGTAACCTGAATCGTGCATTATAATGTTAATTTAAATACTTGATTTTCTTTAATTTCAGTAACCTCAATCATGCACTATAATGTGAATTTAAATACTTTTGTTTTCCTTTGAATAGTATCGCTGCATATTGTCAAAACCACCTGATTTTTGTGAAGAAAATCAATCTGTTTTTTAGACTTCAAGATTGGCAGCTATGGTACTCATTCAAAGTATCTATTTTAAATACTTAATTTTCTTAATTAAAAACTAATTAAATTGTATGTTATTCAACTGGCCAATGAAAGGGGCCAACATTTGATTATGTTGGTATAAATTTAGGGGGAAAAAAGTTTTTACACATGGCCTAATAAAATGTAATCCAAAATTTCATGTTACAGACCTTTCTATTTGTTGGAACAACCAATTAGATTTTGTTTCCAAGTGATCAACCAGAAATAATACTTTATTGATAGCTCACTGCTGTTTAAAACATGGAATTGGTGGAAGGTCATGCGCTGGCCACATCAAATGTTTTCCTTTATCATTCATTGACTGTGTGATTTAAATAAGTTTTCTCATCAGTATTTGTTTCGGGAAACAATTTTTTACTGAATTTTTTATATCTCATTTAACTAAGGAAATGGCTACATAATAGTTTACATGTTTTTTGTTTGCAATTGGTATAATGAATTCAATGTTTAGATTTATTTTTTTTATTCATTTATTTCATTTTGCTACTTTTCCTTTACATTTTCTGTATTTGTTTTCTATATCTATAATCTTTAGGTTATTTATTTTTGCATTATTTTATTAAATTTATTTAATCTTTCAAATGAGTAAAAAGAAAGATATAAATGAGAAATCAAGATCAAAAGGACATATCAAGATATTCTAAAAGGTATTGAAGTGAAAAAAGAAAAGATATTGCTGGAAAAAATATCGCATCAATTTTACAAGTCTTATTCAAAAAGAAAGAAAGAAGGCAGAAAATAAAAAGTTTGCAATGAAATATTGCTTCAAGTTTAATTCATTCTAAGTATTTTTTTTATAAATATCATTAAATGTAGTCATTATAATAAATTGCTCTATCAGTATATACTTTAGGAACAAGTTTTCAGAATTCCATAATAATGTGCTCAAAACTATTTACTGTGAGTATGTATGTTGTTTATTTTAAGTAAATTGCTTACAAAATTGTATTAAATAAAATAAGGAATACTAATATATGTAACATTGCTTACATATTCTATGTCACAATAATTGTGCATTATACGTATTGAATGAGTGACTCACACTGTCAGTATTCGTTCATTTCTAGCAAAGGCCAAAAAGCAAAAGATCTCATTTCTCATCAAAGTAACTAACTGACAAGTGCCATTTTGTTTTCAAAACAACATTCCAGTTCTATTAAGATCTATCTTCCATTAAGTTTTTATGTCGAATTGCACTTTCTTTATAAACTGCATTGTTTTATCTCATTCAGTATAAGAGCCAGGAATATTATATATATATATCTGTCTTGGGGGGGGGGAAGATATTAAAATTTGTTTTTGTTGGAACAAATTTTTCTAAATGTGCAGCACAAGCTCAGCAAGAATTATTTATTTATACCTAATGTATGTTTAATTACCTCGTCAGTACTTAGTTTTAGCACAACCACTTTGGTGCAGTTGTACATTTTTTTTTTGTTATTAAAAGAAAAATGGTGGCAAAAATTATTTATTACTTATATATTTTACATTTTAGCTTGTCAACCAATCATTCATTCAACCTGGTTTTTGTTTTGTGGGAAATTTCGTGGAGATTGTTTTAATTCAGGACAGTTTCCATCAAGTGAACAAAAACAATGTGTGCAAAAATGGCAAGGTAACTAGTTAAACTGACGAAATTATTTATGAGCATGGTTGCCAAAGTTGGGCATATTCTGAAAATTTGACCACTTCTACTGAAGGAGTTTTGTTAATAGTACCATCACATTAATTATAAATGCAACATCGTTATTAAATAACTTGAAACATTTTTGTATCTAGTAGCCCCGAAGGCAAGGTCTCCATTTGTAGTGGTCATAAGTGTGACATGCTTACTTAGTGCTCCTTGGTCAGTTGTTGCTTGCTGATACCAACGAGATGTATACTGGTAGAGAGCTTATTGCAACCTCCAACCGGTTCCAACATTAGTGTCACGTGATTGCTGGTCGAATTCCGAAAGTCCGGAAATACTTTACATTCAATTTTTATGGGACAAAAGACGCCTGCTCTGCTTGGTCACATAAAATTTAAGAAAAAATGGTTATCTGTTGCCACATCGCTTATGTATGCAAAGAAAGTTTTGTAAAAGGAGGACCTTGTAACCTTTCATAGCTAAGTTAAAACTGCATGATTTATTATTTTATTTCCAGTATTTTTGTCATTTTACTATCTCTGTTGAATTGGTTGGAAAGTTTCAGCCATAGTGTATAAGAAAATTGCCGCTGTATATGACATTTTCAGCATGTATTAATAGCATCAAAATGTAATAAATACTGTGACATAATTTACTGGAATCACCTTTTACAAATAATTCAATTTTACGTTCTTTTTCCGTATACTTCGTTGAAATAGAAAGCTGCGCCAAGTGGCACTAACCTTTTTTCGTCAAATCGTACGCGTTTTGGTTTCGTAAACAAGTACTGCCTGCGATAAAAAAAAAGAAAAATGCTATTATTATTAAATTATTGATAATAATAGCATAATGCACAAAATTTATATCATTTAAAGAATATAATTATCTAATCGTTACCACATGTTCTATTCAAATACTATAATAAAGCTAGAATGATGTATAAAAGAAATTAAGCAAACAAAACAAAAAAGAAAAACTTTTTCACAGACGATTGAGTATTTCTCACTTAATTAATTCAGTTCTCAATTCGCGATTGTGTGATATGTTTACTTTGTTAAAAAGAAAGCTAATTCAAAACCTATAAATGAGCTGAAAATTTGTATACTAGTGTATCTTAGCTAATAATGCATGAATCCCAAAATTTTTTAATTTAAGCTAATGTATAAGAATGATCTGGTAAAGCAGGAATAAAGTGGCAGTGAATTCAAACTTACTAAACATTATAAGTATAAGGAATAAAATGGTATTAACTCGTAACGTCAACAGATTGCCTATACTTAAAAAGTGCCACCTATTTATAACTTAATCACCTCAATATTTGATTGCAGAGTTTTTGCTTTCATAGTAATATTTCTTTAAGATTTTTTAAAAACCTTTTCCTTTAAAACTGTTTTTTAGCAACATAAATATATCATAACTATAGAATTTTCTTTCATTTATAATGAGGATTAAGTGTGTATTAAGATTTTCAGTAGGAATTAAATTAAAAAAAAAAAAATCCTTGAAAACAGGCCTTAACTTTTTGTTGTATGCAAACAGTATATATATATATATATATATATATACTGTATATATATATATATATACAGTTTTGTAAAAAAAAAAAAAAAAAAAAAAAAAAAAAAAAAAACTGAGTGAACTGTTGCAGGTTTGAATGAGGCTTTCATCATTATATCTTTACTAGTTTTCACTTTCTATTCATAAAAGCTTTTTTTTTTCTTTTCTTTGTGAAACAGTCAGTTTTTATTTAATCCCTGTATTTGTTAAAATAAAAGCATGTATTTTTAATTTGTAGTTTATATTTTATTTACACTTTTATATATGATTTTTAAAAGTAAATATCACATTCTTTATATATCTATAAAGATTTCCATGGTTTTACAAACTAATTTTTTTAAAAATTTATATCATCTCCAAAAAAATGTTTCATGAGTCAAATTTCCAATATCAGAGCCATATATAAAGTATTGTATTTCATAATGTTATTCATGTAGTATATAATAATGTGTAGTTTCTATATTTCGGCCAAATTGTGTGTTTTTGTTTTAAAAAGCTCATTACTTATTCACAAATCAAAAACAGGAAATTTGTAATACACTTGACTACTAGTTTGAGTAGGTGATTTTTAGTACTTGTTCCTGATATACTTTAGAAAAAATAATTTAAATAAATAAAAAAATAGCATTAATTCACTTAAAATAAAAATATACTACTTTGTATGAACACCAAACTTTTAACTATGAACAGGACATGCTTTTCAAACGAAAAGCTTTATTTCTTCATCAGATGCAAGTTGGATCCTCTGCAGCTGGTGAAGATGGGTTAGGTTATTTAATTACGGCAAAGCCTCGAGGGCTATCTGCCTAAGGGGAGTGATGCCTTCGTGGAGGACTTTCTAAGGGAAACTGGTGAAGCTGGTGAAGAACGAAAGCTTTTTGTTCAAAATGTGCGTCCTGCTCGCGTTTAAGAGATTGGTGTTCATACAAGGTAGTATATTTTTGTTTTACTTAATTTTTGAGTGTTTATTTGTAATCAAATCCACTTAGTAAATACTATATTTAAATGCACATTTTCGTAATGTGTTTATTTAATTGGGATACAGGATTAAAATAGAATATGTATTGTCATGTTTGAATTTATAATTCAGAAAGGAAATTTTATTTTGGAAATGTACATTTTACAGCTGATGTGCAAAATATGAAATCTTACTAAATATTATGTATAGCAGCGTACAGTTAAGGAAGTAGTTTCCAAGTTTGCATGAAATTATTTTCTGGACATTGTTAAGTTTATAAGCACTTTAATATGTAAGTAACTGAGAAAAAAAAATAAGCATTTCCAATCAGTGAAAGATCTTTTTAAAAATAAAAATTTTACTTACTATCATACATTTCCAGAATGCAAGTACTATTGGTAACACTGAAAGGTCAAAGGTAAATGAAATTGTTCCAAACACTATTTCTGACCTTAAATTAAGTAAAATTATGTTTACTTAAATATAAGAAAGTAAAATACTTCTGTAATAAAATTTCAGTATAATTAATATTTTTGTATCATAAACTATATTATATATAGTCTGTAATTATATATTTCATCAATTGCATAAATACATATCTTACAATGTGATTTTCTTTTTCTCTTTAGGATGCAATGCATTAAAAATAAACGAGATTTTTTTACCTTCTCAAATATTATAATAGTGCAATTAATTTTTAAACGTTATTCAAAATTAAAGTTTCCATCTCAATTTTTTATTATTTAGTTTAGATTTTCTTCTTAAAATTATTTAACCTAAACATCTTAAGCATCTAAAACAATGGCGCAAATAATAACCTAATCATCTAAAACAATGGCGCAAATAATTTAAAGCGATTATTAAAAATATAGATAAAATATTCAGGAAAAATGGGTTAAGTTATATCTAAAAATAATTGTAAAAAATCGAATAACCTAATTCGAGGACGTTGTCTGCCGACTGCCAGCAGATGGAAATAAAAAACAGTACCTGCCATATCAAAAGTGTGCCAAACTGGCAATGAACAGCCTAAGCTATCACTCCCCAAGAGCACCAAGAGCATAAGTCACGTGGAATATGTTGGAGACATCCTAGCAGATGAATTCTCTGTGGGTGAGTCGTCTACCTGTTATATGAAGTCGTTGGCTGATACTGGCATCGGCGAGAAGTTTTGCAGCACACGAATTTTGACATGTCTGTGCAGATGGTAAATGACTTTGGAATTTGATCATGGATCTCTTACGTGGCACTCAAATACTGTTCTGCTGTAGAAGAAGAGCTTCCATGTAGTAGCTCTAGAGATTTTAACAGCTTTGTTGAAAAATCCTGCAAGTGATTTTTTCTTTTGTATCGCCGTGAGAACATTTCTATACAAAATTTGTTTTGCTACCATTGAAAACGATTATTGATGCACAGTTACAATGCCTCCTAATATAAAATTTGGCATTCTCTTGTATAGAATTAGTTTTTTTTGGTAATGTATCATTTGTTTCTTTAATATTGTTAAATCTGAACTTATTTAACTAAAGCCATTGAAGTCATCATTTTACAGGTATATAGAAATTGCATTTGTTTATTAATTTTTTTAGGTCAGAGAAAAATTATTGAGTAAACAGTTGATTGTCGAAAGAAGTGAAAAAGTCAGAGCTATCAGAGAACAGAAGAAGCAAGGCAAAAAGGTAAATATTTATTTTGTGCTATAATGCAGAATCTGTATGTGTATATTCCTTGCAACATAGGAAAATAGTGGCACCTAGAGTCACCACATTTTGAATTTATTTTGTATTTATGCAAATTTAATGAACTTTTGATTAAAATCTCAGCAATATAAAAGCTTTCAGTTGCCACTGGGCAAAAGTGTAAGCTATTTGTTTCAAATTTAATCAGAAAATTCAGCAGTATTACAAGAATTTGGTTGCATCTTCCCAAAATATATGTGCATTTTGTATTTAATGAACAAATTCTGCAATTTAAAAGAAGTGTGTTTCTGCTGCTTAAATTAGGATATTTTATCTTCTGCATGACAGTAATCAGCAAAGGGTAAGACATTTAATTTTTCTCTCAAATTTATTCTGTTATTAATTAACAAACAAAGAATTTAAACACAAAATTTATTCTGTTATTAATTAACAAAGTGATTTAAAAGCAATAAATGCTGCTTGAATTAATGTTTATTACTAGCTGGCCCTGTGAAATTACATTAGATGGATTTGTTAAAATCATTACATTCCCCCTTTTTTATAACAAATTATTTTAAATAGCTGGCTCTGCAAATGGTTAGTGTTGTCTAATAGAAGAAATATATACTAATTCAAAATTTGAAAATAGGCAGAAAAGCCTTAGTTCTGCCCAACTTTTAAATAAAACTATTGAGTTCAAGAGCAATCAAATACAGTTGCTGGGGATCAGACACAGGCCTCTTTTCATTATTACTCCTGAAGAAGAAGGACCTGTATCTGATCAGTCTAGAAATCCTCATTCAGAATTATTCTACTCCTATTCATTTAAAATACATATCAAATTAAGTTGCTTTTTTGTTTAATTTAAATGTAATGTTTATTTCATACATATGAAATATATCACTGTCAATTCTCAATCAAATCTCAATTTTTTCTCCATCACATGTCTCGACTTCCTTGTGGACTGCCAAAATTGCCTGTTTTTAATTTTTTGGCTTTACTCAGAAAATATTTACCAGCAAGAAATGAAATTTATTGAATTGATGAAACTTAAATTGCAAAAAGTTCATCCCCCAACCCCTATCGATTCATAGCATTTTTTTTTTTTTCCTTAAAATTTTATTTCATTGGAATAGTCTTAATGTACTGAAAGCATTTGCAGAATTTTTCATAGAGATTCAACCCAAGTAAATAAGTTATTGTTTGTTTTAGATCAATATAGTACATTACGAAGTTTATTCAAAGAATGCTTTGTGCATTATTATTTTTATTTACATCGTACATAATTATTTTATTTACTTTCGATATAGGTGGGAGGTTTAGTTTCTAGTTTAGTTAACTTCAGTCTCAAGTGTCCCCATTTTATTATATCCAGCCAATTTTCGGGGGGGGGAACAAATAATTTGTGGCAGTAAATCCACATTCAGCTAACTATGAAGGTGGAGACGGTAATGACAGTTCTCTTGCACATTTTGTTGCATCTGGATATTTGATTTGAGCTTCCTCACAAAGCCATGCCATTGCTCCTTTTATATTAAATAAAGTTTTAATTGACTCATCATTTTGTATTTCTAACTGTTCTTGATATTGCATGTTTGAAATATCAGCCAAATCCACTAACATTGGCTGCATCATCCATTTGGGAAATCAGTGTTTCAAATCAGAAGATCTCTCTTTTAAATCAGCCAATAAAATTTTCAGATGACCGACAATAACATATAGCAGTGTGAGTCACTTCAAATTTTTTGGAGACAATAAAACTTTAATTTTTTTTTTTTTTTTTTTTGTATGTATATGTCTGACATAATTCAGTAAAGGTAATGAAACCAAATAGGTTCACTTTTGCATCAACAAGAGGTTTATTTGCTTCTCATGTCTCCTGCTTCGAAATAGCCCATTGTATCTACAATGTTAGTCTTTCTTCAAAATTTTTCTTTAAAGTTAAAAAATAATTGAAATCTGAGTTAATATGAGCATTATATTTCGCCTAAATGTGACTCGAGATGACCTCGCTTCATTGATTCGCTGGTCTGGCTTTGTTGGCATAAAAAACAATAAGGGTGACCGTTCAGCATGTACAGCAGGTATGAAAACAAATTTTAAATATTCCTCTGAATACTGACGATGTTTTTTTCTTGCCAGTCATTTCACTTAAGGGCTGAAATAAATAAATATAGGATCAATTAAAAACTTTGTCACACGGCTAAATATAAACAAAGCAGCTGCTGTTGCCTTCAGGGGAAGAATAACATACCTGTTACCGTTACTACAGTAAAAAATAAAATGAATTCGTTGGCTGACGTGCAAAAAAATCTGGAAAGCATAATGTGTCAGCTATTTAAATGCCCTTTAAAACCATATAAATGTCCATGTCTACATAAAAAATTCCTTACAAAATATTTAAAATGCACTGCAATTAATTTTTTTTTTTCTACATATTTCTTACATTATTCTTTTTTTTGGGGGGGGGATAAAAAATGAAATTTTGAATTCTTGAAGAAAATTTGGAAATTTGAACCCTTAAGACTCTGGACAACTCCATTTTCGAATTGCCCCATCTGTGGGGCATGTGCCCCACACTCGGAAACACTGGTCTAGAATAATGTTGGCCATTCTGACAAATCCCTGTAGTACCCATGGAGGGTGCGAGAAGATTTTCAGTGTTACAAAAACAACGACTAAATTTAGATCTAGCATTAGTAATGACACATTAGAAAAACTTTTATTAGGAAAAGCAGGCCTACGTGGCAAATGCTGTGAACAAAATTACAAAGTTTCTTTATTAATGCAAGCAAAATTTGCCACTGTTCATAGAATTTTACAAAAACTGATTAAAGTATTATTTTTTTGTGTTAAAGGATGCAAATAATAAAAATGTTTTTTTACAAGTAAGTATTTTTGTATTGTTTCCATTTAAGAACTAGTAACTGAACTTTGAGATATTAATTTTTAACTATTCAAAGTTAATTAATTATTAAAAAATATTTTAATCATTAAAAAAGTTTTTTGTCGTTACGAAAAATCTTACGATTTTTTAGTGTTGTAGGTTGGCAAGTATGTATCATATTTAAAATAAATGAATAGTTTTCAGTAAATAAATTTCTCTTTCTTACTTTGCATTTTCTGAGTATAAAAGTGTGAAAAAATACAAAATGAAATTAGCTAAATATAAAATAGAAGTTTAGGATATGTAATTAAATACTGATATGGTTTACACAAGAAGTATAAATATTTCAGCGACCTAAATTAAAAGAATTTTAAATAAGTTTGGAATTCTTTTGAAAAAATATTGTCATGCAGGAAGGAAACCTCTCAAACTGTGATTTTTATGTATTTTCCACTTTTTCAAGTTTGGAAGCTATGTAATATATATCAACTAAATATATGTGCTAGGAAAGACAAGTTGCAAAAAAATATTTATAACATTACTTCTTATGTAGATTCAACAAGAAGTTCTTCAACAGAAGAGAGAAGAAAAAAAGAAAATGTTAAATGCTCTGAAGAAAACCAAAAAAGGTATTAAAACAATAAATACATTTCTTGTTTCGTAATTTCAGCAAACAAGATGCAGTTCTCTTATTTTTTTTTTTTTTTTACAAAAGTTTGCATGATACTTTCTCTCTCTCTATATATATACAATAAAGAGGTAATAATAAATCAAAATTAATTTGTTAAATTTGTTGGCAGTTTTCATAAACATGTTTTCAGTAACGTAGAAATTACTGATAATCTTAAATTCAGAAGTCTAATGCAACAAGGTACTAAATTTCATTCTCACAGCCAAAATCTGTAATGAAAGATGCTTAACACTAGAATGGCGGAAAATCTTACCTACTGAGAACGGCAGTAAGGGGTCATTTTAACCCTTCGATGAAAGTACTGAAATAACAATGGTAAAAAAATATTAAATGCCATACATTGGCACAAATATGTACTTTATATGTATTTCATAAATTTATATTTAATATCACATGATAATTTATTGACCTTTTTAAAATACTGTAAATGTATCAAGTACATGGTGATCAATTGGATCATACTACAATTACTCAAATAACTCAGTAATTTGGTATAGGAATTGATTTCAAATAAATGGTTTCACAAATTAAAACTAATGTTAACTAAATAAAATACAATTTATATAATAATATTTTTTATGTACTTACTCGGAGGATGATTCATTCTGTAAATCCAGAAATAAGAAATGTTCTCTGATGTTTCAGTTATATCATATGTGTAGCTGAATGGAATATGTAAATCATTTCGTTTCAATTCTATTTAATGTTTAAAATATTAGAGATTACACATACATATTAAAAATTAATGCAGTTGATAGAAAAATAATTTTTAACAATTTTTCCAGTGCATTTTTCGCACACAACAATGGAACAAGATGCACAATATTCTTGAGATTTGTTTCCATTGCATGTCTGTACTTGACACTTTTTTCTCTTTATATCTATTTTCTTTTCTGTGTTTCTTCTGAAGACTCAAGAAGGATCTTTGGGAATTTTGAAGCCATATGTACCACTCTTAACTCCTCTCGATTTAATGGTGTTTCCTGCTACACTTTTGTAAATTATCCAGGCGTTGAAAGCTGCATGATCCAAAATATTGAAAAAGTTATGTACAGGCTATCGTTTAGAAGCAGATTTAACTGAATATTTTCGGCACATCTGATCACAATATCCACACCATGCTTTGTTGCGTCGTGAAATGTTATTGAATGGGGCAACTTCTTGAGACTGTCTTCAGTTTTTACAGTAGAATGTAATGAGTTCAGTAGAAAAACGCTTTTGTTTCTTTTGCCTTTATAGATGGTAAGTGTGATATTATCATATTTCACTATTGTCGATGAATAAAAATTACTATGCATATTTTTGAAAGATTTTTCTTCTATTCTTTGCATTGTGCCGACCATAATTGTATTTTTTTATTTTAGCATTTCTGCTAATTTAATGCTAAAGAAAAAGTTGTCCGTGGTAATGTTCCTCCTTTTGTTTAGATGTGGCACCGTTAATTTTATGACAACATTTTCAGACAAATATAATTGAGGATTTGCTGTTTCATCTTTTCCTAGATAAGGAAATCCATTCAAGAGGTATTTAGTATCAACGTCGACAGATAACCAAAATTTTATTCCAAATTATTGTGTAAATTTACTCTTAGCTTTAGATGGGAATAATTGTTCATCAACTAATTTTTTGGCCTGGTCTGTAGCACATTTTGCAGTTTTCAATAAGTTTGTTCCACATGTGTGATGCAAGAGCAAATTTATCAGTCTGTAATCGAGCAGATTTTGTTGTCTTTTCATCGAGCCTTAAAAATCGTTCTATTTCTTTGAATCTATCTCTTGATATAGTTTCTTTGCAAAATGGTATTCCCCACGCTTCGGACCACAAGGAATATAAATCTAAGCCCTTTGCTCCTATTACTCATCGAACATACAATATAGTGACAAAAGCATATAACTTATCCAGAGATAACTTCCAGTCTTTATTTCCAAGTTGCTTATGACCTTCAGATTCTGTACATTTCTTTCTATGCAGCAAGATATCATCAATAAAAAGCTGGAAAGCACTAGACACTTTGTCCTCAGAAACCCAATTCTTTGCAGAAGATGTTAGTCCTGCTGTTTCTTTTAGAACATTATAAGTAGGAACACGGCCGCAGACTGAATTTATTGAATTTATTTCATTCCATATAATCTTATCAGGAGCTGTAAAAACAGTTTTGCAAATAGCCTGATCTGTTTTTGCCGTTCATTTCTGCTGAGTTCTTCTTCATTTACTTTGGATTCACTAATAGTTTGTGTCTGGAATTCATCTGCAGTTTCTACAGAAAAATTATCAATTTCACCTCTGTCAGACTCATTTTCAGATAGTTCCTGCAACAATTTTTTAATTTCTTCATCCGTAAGACCTCTTTTCCAGCTTATTAGACATATTTTGTAAAAGTTGAAAAAGTAGAAAAATATCAGAAAACGATAGGGAATGATTCTCAAAGCATAAAAGAAAGGTGATAATGAACTTGATGGAATTCATGGGTACTGAAATACTGATTTGGGATTACCAAGAAAACATCTGTCCTAACTGCTCTCATCTGCAATAAGTAAAATACATCAGTAAAATAAACTATTTCTGAAAAGAAATGTAAGCATGAAAAACCCTGCATGTACCTTCCTTGCAGTATTTTCTTCAAACAAATAGATAATTGCAAACAAAGGAACAACAACCAACTTATGTAGACATTACAAAGTAGTGAGACCACCCATGTTTTTATCCCTCTGAGAGATAGTATGAATGCAATCGAAAAATCCTTGTCAGTGAATGTTTTTCATGGGTTATTTGACAATGCCTTCAGGACAAAGAAGGATAAAAGTAAAGGGGTCAAAATGACCCCCGTCCGCCGTTCTAGGAATACATGCCATTATTTCAGAAACTAAAATACCTAGAATGCTGAAATTTATTTTTCAAATATTTGTTATCTATGTAGGAAAAGTAAAAAAATTCCAAACGATTTCTTTCAATAAAACAAAAGTAATCAACGATCAAAAGTGTTCAGGGGTCAAAATGACCCGTACTGCCATTCTAGTATTAAAACAAGTTATAAATTTTGTCTTCCTATTAGTACCTTTTTCGAATGGAAGTACCTTTACTAAAATGATTAAAAAGGAACTACTCCTACCCCTCAAAATAAATATCCATAACTTTTTAATTACATCCAGTTGTTTAAAAATTTTTTCATTTAAGTTTTTCTTTTATGAACTTACTGAAACAGAACTTGATATTACCTACAAAACTTCCAATTACTATGAAAACCTTTATTAAACATGATCACCTTCCACAAAAAATGTTTACTTTTTCCCAAAAAAATTCATAAAATGCCATATAAGTTCAATTTTTTTAGAAATGGTACCAAAAATTATGAAAAGAACATACTTTATTTTTGAAAAAATTTGTTTTTACGTTGCCCATTACCATTGACTTTATTCCATTACCATAACTGGATTATTAAAAATAATAAAGTACTAGACAGTTAATTTTCCATTTATGATATTAATAGTTATGATTTTGAAAATCTTTACACCTTTCTTCCCTTAAAAGTAATTTATAATAGTCTTCTTCAACTTTAAAATTATTTCCAGCACTCAATAACATATTTAATTTTGGAAAATGGATGTTCACTTTTTCATAATTTTTTCAAATTTTAAAATAAAAATTTGCTAAAAATTAATATTATTCCCATGTGCACCTGTTTTTCAGCTTTTAAAAACAGGTGCACATGGGTATAACATTACTTTTTTTTAGGATCTTTTTCTTTGCATTAGAAATCAATTTAATGAAAAATTGTTATAAATTAATAACTTAATCTCACATTCAGAGATGCAATGATTGATGGCCTTATGACAAAGTTTCAATAATACTGAGTTAATCGTAATAAAATCAATTGCAGTAATAATAATATTGATTACTTTTAAATTCTGAACTGTGCAGTGATTAAAACATTTTTATAAAAAAAAAAAAAAAAAAGATTGAAACTTTCCTACCATTAAAGAACCGAATGATAAATGTTCCAGTTTACCATGGCCAGCTGACTTCATAAAAGTGTCTTTCTTGCCCACCATCTTCAATGCTGCATGGCACTGACAGCAGCCAATCAGTGGAATGGTTTACAGTGGTGTATGGAACACAAAGACTGACTTCTTGTCAACGGAGTCTTGTCCTCTGTACTGATGATAGTCATTTTCACCTGAAAAACGAATTTCGGCACCATTTGATATGGAGAAAAGTAGGGACCTCTGCATTTTCGACTGAGGTTCACATACTTGCGATTGTTACTGTGATGAAATTATCCCCTTCCATGTATGTTTTTTCTTAAGTGCTATTCTTTCTTTATGGATGGCAAGGCATGGCCACACAGGGTTTATGCTGTTGAGAAGCTCCTAGAAAGTGAAGATATTCACAGAATAGATTGGCTAGTGTGCTCCAATGATTTATTTAAATCTCATTTAACATTTATGGGATATTTTAGGGAGACAGTCAGTAGCACGATCTTACCCTCTGGAGAACACCAAACAACTATAAACAGATGCTGCTTGAAAAATAGGAACTCTTACTCCAAGAATTGTTAGATGATCTGGTGTTGAGTATTGACAGATGGTGCAATGGAACCGTTATCCTTAGTATTGTATTTGAAGATTTGGTGTTCTTTGAAGAACCTTGAGATTTCTGCATAGTGGTGAGTGTAGAACCGAGGTTCTCTGCTACAGAAGTATAAACTGCACCAAGTTGAAAAATTAAACATAAGATTTAATGTGACTTTCTATCCTTAAGATTTAACAACATAGATGAACATACGTGTCAGACTTTGACACATTAATGAACTTATACAATGGATAGTGTACAAAAGTACTAGATTGGTACAACGTGACTTGATCTTGCAGGTATTTGGCGATGTAGATAGACAATCCAGAATGCTTGTGTAGATTCTTATCTCAACTACGCTGTTCCTCG